GAAGGCCTGGCACGATATGGTTCATGGGGTCACAAAGAGTCGGACACGACTTAACGACTAAACAACAACAACAGCAAGCTCTGAAAACAAAGTGAAGTTTACAAACTGCTGCATACTGGAAAAACTTGGAAATGCTCAGTTCCATCTTGCGTGTACTTATAACAGAATCAGTGTGCTTAGGATAGCAGCCTGAAGCTGTGATCCTTTGTGGATATATCCAGGAGGTGAATCCCATTGCAGGACTGATTTCTGAGGAAATAGTTTAGGATTAGGCTGTTAAATGGACATTAGGATTGAATTAATCAGTTGAATTAATTAGTTTACTGGGATGTGTTGCAATGTATTCTTGGAAAAATTTGAAAGCAGCAGAAACCTCCACAACAGTTTTCCCCTTTTCATTACAGAAAGATCAATTTACTTCTTTTATGTTTGTTGTCAGGTGTCTCCACGCCATGGGTAACTATAATGGCACTTTCAGGTATGAATGGCAGCATCTTGTGGTCCAGTCATGTTAAAGAAGAGATTCTGAGTGTGCAATGTAAGAATTTAGACTCTGTATTCTCAGCAGAGCCTGTCTGCCTTGTTACTGGGACCTCTACATTCCTCAGTCTTCTGAGTGCCTCATCAGGTAAGTTGAACTGGTGCAGCTAATAACGCACACTGTTGAAAATGAGGAGGAGTTTGGTACCACCTTTTCTGACTTAACATGTTATTAGAAGGAATAAGTTTTTGTGAGCTGCAGTTCACTTCAACAAATGCATAGAGTGGTTAAATTGATGTAGAATTTTACAGGGTTAGGGGGAAGGGAGGGGAAGACAAGTTGTTTATGCAAATACAGGTTACATGTGAATCGGATTACAATTATTAATTGATAAGGTACTTAAAAACTCATTGTGTTTGTTTAGACTTTTGAGATGGGCAGAAACATTTGATGTATGAGAGTTCAGCAATCTCTCAATCATGCTATTAAAATTTCATTTTTTCAAAATGGTCTCTTTGAGAGGGGTTAAATTGGTCAACAGAGCTACGAGGTGAAGCTATGTGTGTGTGTGGTTGCTGCTTAGATGCAACTGCTGATTGAAAGCTAGTAAATGGAATTTTGATAAGATGGAATTGTTGTAGAATTAAGGGAATCATAGCGGGTGGCATCACATTTCTGCTGAAGGAATGAGTGCCTAGTCTGGAAGTACTTCTTAATTCTACCTATTGCTGATGGTTTGTGACCATGGATTATTTCCACAAAGAGTCATTATGACAGTTTAACCAGGAGAATGTCACATTTTAGATTACTGTGAAGAAGCCATGGGAAATAATGCTGAGTCAAAGCTGATCTACACATGTTTCACTAAAGCATACCGTGATTAAATAAGGCATGCATTATGCTGGTGAAATACTTGTAAGCTGTAGTAAGTCGAAGGGGAATGCAGAAGATCAGAGTTCTAAGATTTTTTTCAGAGCAACTTATTGGAATATCAGAGCAGCTGACAGAACTTCCTTTCTCAGGTGTGAATAAGGAGATGACCAAGATTTACAGATGATGAATAAAAAAGGCAATAATGTTTTTTCTTTTTCTTTGATGGTATTCCTACTAGCAGTTTAAGTGGTAACACCTCATTGTAAGATAGTTTGCATTCGGGATCAAATCTAAAAATTGTATTTCAGTTCAGGTGAGGTCTTATTAAAATGTAATAGTTTACAAGTTGAACCTAAGCCATTAGTAATAAGCACCACTGAATCCAGATTTACTTCTTGGTAATCATGCCTAGTATTTTGGATATGCCTCATATGCTGAGATCATTTCAGTGGTTTCTTTGGTTTAGAATGCCTGTATTAGGGTGGAATTTTTAACTGATGGGATATTTAGTTTAGATAATAGCAAAAAAGCCCTTCCTTAAGACATGGTTTTGGTTTCTTCCTAGGGGAAAGTTAAGTGTAAGACTTATTATGATAAGGTCTTGCACTTCTGATGGATAACTACTATGGTCAAGATGGCAACCAGTTCAGCGCAGTGTATCTTTTCTTGCCTTGCAGAAGTCTTTGCTAATCTGAACTGGCAGACAGACAGAATTTTTCCCTTGGAAAGCCTTTGGTCATTTATTCAGTGTGAAGTGCATAGGAAGTTGGCCTTTTGTTAGATCAAACTATTGTCTATATCATTTAGTATTGTTTACTCGGAATGATAGCAGTTCTTCAGGATCTGAAGGGCAAGTGATACTGTAGAGCAGTGTTTCTCAACCTCAGCGACTTGAAGATGGGTGGACTTCAACTCCCCAAAGTCCCAGATACTGGCTGGGGAATTCTGGGAGTTGAAATCCACCCGTCTTCAAATTGCTGAGGTTAAGAAACTCTGCTGAGGAATGATATAACTGGGAATTAGAAGGTGGCAGTTCAGTCTTTGGTTTTTTCCTCCCTAAACCCTAGGGATTTGTTGCTAATAAGTGATACCAGTACTGGGTTAATGGGCAATGATCTGATTCCCTGTTGGATAGCTTCTTTTGTTTCCATCACCTGATCTTTCAGATGAGTGGTGTCAAAGGTGTGCTGTGCCACTGAATTGTCAACCTTTATTCTTCAGGGTTAACCTTATGGATTGCTTTCAAAATAAATAATGTAATCTTCAAGGCTTGATAACTTCATGTAAGACACAGTTTTGGAATCAGGCACATTATTGAGAAATTTGTAAAGTGACAAATGTTTTGCAGGTCAAACCATGTGTCACATCTTGTTCAAACCCCAATACAGACAAATCTCTTGAAATCCAAAGTAGATTCAGAAAAGATTTCATTTTTTGGAGGATACATGTAGCTCTAAGCAAAGCAGTGCTAAAACTAAAGCCCGCGTAATTTTCCCTCTACTTTTACCCCCATAGTCCCCCCCTCATTCTAGGTGCCACTTTTGTGCATTCCTAACCCTGATAACACGTCTTCTTCCTGGCCTTCAATCTTCCTCCGGCTCTGTCTTCTTT